CCTCCATACACACATTGCACACACATCTACATACACACCTACATATACCACACACAATAAATGTATAAGGAATAAATAAGTAATTAAAACATTTACACCTACTGGCTGAAGGCATCTACGAAAGAGGCATGATATAAACTGTCCAAACTATCCACAGTGTAATCCCTGAAAATGCTTACACTGGCCTACAAGGCGTCTCAGCTGGTTAAGGCCCTTGCAGCCAAGACTGACAACCTGGGTCCCGTCCCCAGGACCCACATACTGGAAGGAGCGAACACTCCACATGATGCCCTTTGACCTCCATATTCAAACCATGGCATGTGTGAGTACACATGCACATACACATATACATTTTTAAATTTAATCAGAGTTTTTTTTTTTTTTAAAGCTTATACCATGTATGATTCCCAGAAAGACCAGAAGCAAATTCACCAAAACACTGACACTGAGGACCCATCTTAGTCACTGTGGGTCTAAACATAGCTGTGAAGAGACACTACAACCAAGACAGCTCTTATAAAAGAAAGCATTTAATTGGGGCTGGCTTACAGTTTCAGAGGCTTTGTCCGTTATCATCATGGTGGGGAGCATGGCGGCAGACATGGTGCTGGGGAAGTAGTCGGGAGGAGGGGAGCTGGTGTGGACTTTTGAAACCTCCAAGCCCGCCCCCAGTGACACACCTCCTCTATCAAGGCCACACCTCCTAATCCTTCCAATGCTTTCAAATAGTTCCACTCCCTGGTGACTAAGCATTCAAATATATGAGCCAATGGGGGGCCATCCTTATTCAAACCACCACAGGGCCTGTAGATAGGGACATTATGGGTGACTTTGTTTTCTTCGTGACTGCTGGTTTTCTAAATTCCAACACTAAGCATGTGAGTGAGTTCATTAGCTGGGTGAATTGCCACCCAGAATCAAATGAGTGGCATAAATAAGAAATAACAAGGGCCAGGGCTATAGCTCAGTGGTGGGGTGCTAGTTCCAGACCTGGGACACATAGGCCTGACTTCAGTCTCCAGCACCAGAAAAAAACAAGCAAGCAAGCAAACAAACAAACAAACAAAAATAAAACAAAACAAACAACAACAACAAAAAAAGTTGTTAGAGGCTAGAGCAATAACTCAGTTAAGCATATTCGCTTATGCAGAGGACCAGGGTTCGACTCCCAGCACTCACGTGGTAACTAATGACCATCTGTGACTCCAATTCCAGGGATCCAGCACCCTCTTCTGGTCTCCATGGGCACAATATGCACATGGTACACATACATGTATGCAGGCAAAACACTTATACACAGAAGTAAATAAATTGTTGAGGGGGAAAAAGCTAGGAATATGAGTTTTTCTAAATTAGCGATTACCACTGTTTTTCAAAAAGTTGTCACTGTAACTGTGATGCATGTCTGGAGCTCCAGTGCTTGGGAGATGGACACAGGAGGATTGGGAATTCAAGGTCATCCTCAGCTATGTAGTGAGTTTGAGGCCAGACTGGGCTACAGGAGGCTGCCTCAAGAAAACAAACAACAGCAACAAAGTTACAAGTTTATTTGATAATATCCCCAGTCCCTCCCTTCTGTGCCAATTTGGGGGGGGGATAGAGAAAAACATACATACATGGGTGTGTGTGTATGTACACATGCAACACCAGCTAGCTTCCTTCCTTCCCGTTTTGCTTTTTGGTTTTTCAAGGCAAGGTTTCTCTGTTTTAACAGCCCTGGCTGTCCTGGAACTCACTTTGTAGACCAGGCTGGCCTTGAACTCACAGCGATCTACCTGCCTCTGCCTCCCAAGTGCTGGAATTGCAGGCATGTGCCACAACCCGGTTTAGCCACCAGCTTTCTAAGCATGGGACAAGGCTGGTGGAACCTTCCAGGGAGCTGTTGATTCTAATTAGGTCTACAGAGAGCTAGTTGAAAACTTTTCTCTTCCGCGTTGGTCTGCATCCCAGGTAGCCAGCAGAGGGCGCTGTGTCATCCACTATTATGAATGGTACAGGCCCACCCTCATGAGACAATTGCTGGGTAATTCCGCCTCAGTTTCATCAGTGTAACAAGACTACAGACAATTACACCCCTGTCGAGGTTGTGCTAAATAGCAAGAATGTTAGTTGTGCTGTAGTTACTCATTGTTGGGCATCAGTAAATGCATGTTCCATCTTAGTAAAAGCTCTGGTGTCTCTATGAGACAGTCTGTATTAACTTCATTTAGAAAAGAAACCAACGCATATAAGATTAAGAAATACCCAGCCCACAATCCCAGTGGATGGTTACAGAAGATATTGAACCCTTGTCCACGGGCTGTGTTGGCCATGGTTTAGGCATGCTATATAAATTAGAACCTGAAATATAAATTGTGTGTCATTTTCTTGCCTGGGCAGTTAAAAAGTCCTCTAGCGTCCCTTAGACTATCCCATTCCTCCTGTACCTTCTCATGAGGGGTGCCCTTAGACCTGGAGGGTAGCCACACCTCAAATACCTGGCAGTGTCTTTGGACTAACATGACCTCTCCCAAAGTCCTACTGATTTCCCCCCAGACAGCCTTACCCAAGTTGATGGCACTCCTATTTAACACGGCGTCATGAGGAAAGATGAATTATTAACTCTGAAATCAGCTTTTGATTTAAAAGAAGGGGGTTGACGGTAGATTTACTGCCACCTGGGTTCACCCATTGCCTCGTAAGGGTGGACAGAAAGGTCAGATACAATCCCTCCCATAGGCGCTCCTGCAGCCTGGGGTGGGGCTTGAAGCATGAGTCCCAGAGGAGGCAGATTTATGACTGTCTGATGTGCCGATTTCATCTGTGAAAAGCCGTCTTTAATCTGCAAGAACAATAGATGATTTGGATTCCCACTCAAATAGGCAGATGTAAGATTAATGAGGGTGCACTGTGCACTGGCCATTACTCACTGAGCTTATTAATAGATCCACTCAGTCATTTTTAAGAGGACATTGACTTGCATTTGAAGTGTCTGGAGGATGTGGAGGGTGCGAGATTTATAGTAATGGTTTTTGCACTGGTAATAAAATCATCGGATGTACACACAGCATTCAGTTGCCCAGACTCTCTCCTCTTGCTCTCTCTCTAGTGCTCATCACACTTCAAGAAACACATTACACCCAGTTTTGTTTTACAGAACGCTGTTATTCTTCTCCATCTTGTCATCAGTACTTCATGTTCATTGTAGGAATATCAGAAAATATAAGAAAATATTGTAGATGGCTGTGCATGCCTCTGACCCCTGTATTTAGGAGGCTGAGGCAGGAGGATCATTAATTCAAGACTGGGGCTTGACCCAGTCTCAAAAAGGAATCTAGTTAATAAAATTAAGTTATAGAACGAAATTGTATGAAAGTGAAGAATCAATAAAAAAAATACCAGAATCCTGGGGCCTGAGGAGATGTGTGCCGTGTCAGCAGGGAGAGGGGCTGGGCTTAGTCCCAAGCATACATGTAAGAAGCAGGGACAGCCGTGTGAACCTGGAATCCCAAAACTAAGGAGGCAGACAGGTAGATTTGTGAGACTCACCAGTCAGCCTAGCCAAATCGGTGAGCTCTGGGTTCAGTGAGAGAAAGAGAGAGAGAGAGAGAGAGAGAGAGAGAGAGAGAGAGAGACAGAGAGAGAGAGAGAGGGAGTGAGAGAGGGAGTGAAATGGAGTAAGCAATCAAAGATGACACATGACATCAATCTCAGGCCTCCATATGCACATGAACACAAACACACATGCACAAGAACACAAACACATACCTACACACACTTTAAAATACCAGAATCCATCACAACCAACAAATTATTAATAAGCCTGTATTTGTCATTAAAGTCCTTTTCTTTGGTCTCAAATATTTGCATACAGGAATGTATTTACTGGAACCCCACCATGATACTATTTTAGGACTTTTTAATAAACTGTAATGACTTTCCATATCATGAAATGATCTCTACAATATTTACATACTATCTGTCTGAGACAGAGTCTCACTTTATAGCCCAAGCTAGCTTTTGAACTCTCTGCAATCCACCTGCCTCAGTATTCCAGGAGAACTACCACACCCAGTTCACGACATCCTTTTTAATGTTTGCATAAAATGTCATTGTGTGAGCATGCCAATAATAATCCATTATTGGATACCATGAACAATGTCATAGTATACAACCTTCTCACTAAACTTTACACATACTGCTGATTACCTTATTTAGAGATGCCAAGGACCAGATTGAAGAATTGTAAAAAGTCTAAGAAAGAAAATCACCTTCCAGGCCCCAACATCCAGTTCCCTCTCCAAAAATCAGTAGTTGAGAGTTTGTGTCCCCATAGACTCCTGCCATCTCCCTACCTGCCTCATTCTTCATATAGGAAAACCCAGATACAGGACCAAGGACACACAGCTATCATGTGCCAGGAATTGAAATTGTTCCTGTCTCAGTCTGGAGTGGTGCCTTCATAATAGGGTTCCAAACCCAGCATCCTTAATGCTGTCTGTGAACCTCAACTGCAAGTCAATGCTCCTCTACTTCCCTTTGGCCTGCTGTGAGGCAGCTCAGCAGGGGTGAGCATTCTGAGTCACACTCTGCCTCCATATGGCCCTTGTAAAGAAGAGATGTCAGAGCAGACAGAGGCATGACAGAATGGACAAGAGTCAGGAAGTGGTGTTGCTCAACCGGGCCCAGCTGGGCAATCTTAGCACAGCTGTCCACTCCCATATGTGTCCCCTGGACTAACTGAGTTCCTCTACAGAGGCAATGAATGCTCCCCCATTTGCTCAACTCCTCCACTAGAAGACAGTCTGTATCTGTATTACAGGAGGCACAGTCCAAAGAGAACAACGAAGTTGACCCCCTTGATGGGCAACTGGGACAGAAGCCAGTGAACAAGTGGGCAGCCTCTGGTACAGCTCTATGGTACATCCTCCATGGCTTCTTAGTGGCTCTCAAGCAAGACAGAGTTCCTGTTGCCTTAGGGGTTAACTTGCTCACTCTCAATCCTTTTGTGGTTTTCTGGGTGTCGTCCTCTTCTGTGTTTTCTGGTCTTACAATCTTCTAGAATAATTGCACCCGAGATCTTGTCTTGAGCTTGTGGAAGACTTTCCAATGAATGCATTCCATTTCCTTTTCTTTTTATATATTCTTCTATTAGGTTTTGCTAAGCCATTCTAACAAATGAACCTCTGCATGCTTCAACACCTCCATGTAACAGCGCACAGCAGGTCTTCAGAGAGTTCTGGGTCAGCAGGGAGGGACTCGGCTCTACCCAGCTGCTTGGGGTCCCAGCAGCTCTGCCATTAGATCATGCTGTAGCTATCAGCATTTCTGTCAGTAAGAGGGTATGTGTACTTGGAGAAACACTTCAGAAGTACAGGGCCAGGCTCAGCAGGACACCCATCATCTCCTCATGCTCCATGAGACAGAGCCAGTCATCCTAGCTAAGAGAGGGGTGGGAGGCAGAAAGACCAGAGATGGGAATTCATCCGTATAAACTGTTCAGTCTGCCACATTCCTCCATACGACTTCTGGACCCTAAACAGCCCAAGCTATCAGTGTTTCTACCTTAAACACAATCATCTAGATATTTTGCTTTATTTTTGTTTCAGGTAACCGGGGAATCGGGCACCTGCTAGGTAAAGATGAGCTGCTGCGGGCTGCTCTGTCACTGTCTCATGCCCACTCAGTACTAGTCACCACTGGATTCCCCACACATTTCAATCATGAGCCCCCAGAGGAGACAGATGGCCCACCGGGAGCCATTGCTTTAGCCGCCTTCCTGCAGGCTCTGGGGAAGGAGACCTCCATGGTGGTAGACCAGAGAGCCTTGAACTTGCACACAAAGCTTGTTGAAGATGCTGTTAAACAAGGTGAGTATGACATGGGCTCAAGCCATTTCCCCAAGCAGGTCTTTACTGGCAAAGACTTGAAGAAATCAATGTTTGGACCTTCAGTCATGTACCCAGTCCCAGGATGTGTCCTCATGACAGGGTGTTTTATCCCCAAGCTCAGAACAATTTTGTTATAAGCAAAGGGGTCTCTCTTTTTTTTTTTTTTTTTTAAAGAAAGTTACTGAGGTTCCTGGAAGTCCAAGTGATCAAACCAATCACTATTGTCCACACAGTGACCAGCTCCTACCACCATCAGTGCCCTGAAGGGTCAAAGCTATGTGAACCCATGCTACCCAGAACAATGAGGATGATTCCCTCCACCAAGACACTCTCAGCCCAGTAGGGACAGGATTAAGTCCTTTGCCTCCTTGGAGATACATGTATCTTAGTGAACATGATATGCCAAATTTCTTTCTCTCTCTCTTCCCCTGCCCTATGATTTTTTTGAGAGAGGGTTTCTCTGTGTAACAGTCCTGGCAGTCCTGGAACTAGCTCTATAGATCAGGCTGGCCTCCAGCTCACGAGATTCGCCTGCCTCTGCCTCCCAAGCGCTGAGATTAAAGGTGTGCACCACCATCGTGCCCAGCTCGAGATGCCAAATTTTAAAGCAGTGATTTGAAAATGCACATCCCCTCCTCACAACCCCTGTCCCTTCCCTCGGATTCTTGGCACCGTCTCCCAAGAAACCACCTACACCCCATCTCAGGTCTTGGTTACAGAGCAACCAGATGGTTGTAAGAGTAGAGGGTAGGTTGTTCCGTCCATGAAGACAGAAGCTGAAGAGGGGTTACAGGGAAAGCTCTATAGTGGATGCTCTCAGGGAGACTACTGTGGGGACAAAGGAGCCAGGATTACACCCTGTGGCCTCTCATCCAGAGGACAAGAGGAAAGGAGTCATTAAGGAATTCTAGGCAGATCCGCAAGAGAGAACAGGAAACCAAGGGACAGGTGACCATGTCAACTCTGCTCCAGGGCCAACAATAGGTGTTACCTGACACTGCACTGTGGCTGTGTTTAGCATTTATTCTCCAGAGAGCACTAGCTGTGTCCTGTTCCTCTCCCGAGAGCTCAGCTGGGTCGCTCTCAGGGACTCAGACAATGCCATGGAGGGTACCGTTGCTTTATTGGATTCTGCAGAATTTTTGTTGCATGAAGCAAGTGATGCAACTGGACCTGTTTGTGAAAACTATTTCAATCTTTTTGCTGAGACCTAGGAAATAATAGAGGAGGCAGGGAGGCATAGTCCTTTCTCCCCTCTCATGCACAAGCCCAGCAAGGATTGCACTCTGTAGCTCAGAGGAGGGAGCTTGTCTCCTGACCCATCTTGACAGAAGTCTTGCATGTTCTTTCTCAGACATGTGGCTCAGTTGCCTGCCTGGGCTCCCTGATACCTCCTCCCCTGACTAGAATCGGACACCAGGGTGGCTGGGGAAGTGAGTTATGCCTTTACTTAGCACCTGCTTCACACCAGATCCCAGTCAGGTCACTGACTGACAGGTATCAAGGCCATCATGGTGCCATCCCAGCCATGTGAGTAGTTGGGCATTACCTTACAGAGGAAGTGCTGAGGGAGCTTGTGTGGCCTAGCCAAAGTCACATGTCTCTAAGTTCTGGGTCCAGGGTGCTGTCAACCATCTTTCCTTCTGCTCAAAGATTTGCCCTGGACCCATGAATAAGCAAGGATTCTTCCTCAAACTTTTGAGAGGTAGATTAATAAAAACCAAATGAATTTCAACTTGGGGAGATAGGTTTATATTTTCCACACAATCTACAGTAATGTGTATTATTTGTGTAATCACAAAATGTTAATTTATTTTAAGAATCAATGTCACTTTGTAAGTCACTACCATACAAGTACCTAACCCAAATCTCTGGGACTCTGCTTCAGTTGTCACTGGTCACCTCTGAAGGGATGCTTAAATGGAGAGGAAACTGGTAAGATCTGGGGGTAGAAATTTAATGGCTGGTTTTAATGTTACCTTGCCACAACCTAGAATCACCTGACAAAGGAGTCTCAGTTGAGGAATTGTCTAGATCAAGTTGGCCTGTGGACTAGCATTGTCAGCTGAACTAACCCCTTCTTCACTTAAGTTGCTTTTGGTCAGGGTGTTTTAACATAGTAACAGAAGTTAAACTAAGACAGAACTGGAGTTGTAATGCCAACATGTATACTGTATCTGACCCTGATCAGCATCCTTGGTGTCTCTGAGCAACACTTTTCCTTTTCTATAAAACAGAAATGATAATCACTTTATGGAATAGAATTTTGAAAATTAAATGAGAGCATAAATGTAAAGAGCCTGGCACACTTTCCTGTGGGCATCTAAATGAGCACACGGCACTCTTGCTGGCAGTGGGCCAGAACAGACCTTATGTTGACAAGGGCATCTTACACATTGCATAGCCCCAGGTCTATACCCTCCATGCCCTACCAACTCCGGAGTTTAGTCAGGACTAAAAGTAAACCTATCCTCTGGACTTTAACAAAGTATTCTAGGAAGGACACCACTCAAAATGGTTGCACTACTGTCCAAAGATGCCCTTCACACATGTCCTGATGTGGTTGCCCTTTGTGTTTATCCTCAGGTGTTCTGAAGACACCAATCCCCCTGCTAACTTACCAAGGCAAGTCAGTAGAAGATGCTCAGGCATTTTTGTGCAAAGATGGGGACCCCAAGTCTCCTAGGTATGTATATGGTACCCCAGACGGAGTGCATGGGAATGGGGAAGACCACATCCTTGTAACCTTGCTGACGAGGTTTCTGCAAAGCTCATCCTATGGAAGAAAGGAAAGCCACCAGCCCAGGAAGCCAAAGTTCTGATGGGCTACATTAGCCATGAGGTTAGGGCTCCATAGAACACGTCTGGAAGTAGATCCCTGCCAGTGGGGAGGGTTGGCACTCATACCTGACAAAGTAAGAAACAAAGTTTGCAGTCTTTCAACAATGGCATCATGACAGTAGTCAAACAATTTCAACTGGGGGTAGCCAAGACTTTTAGGAAACAAAATAGAAATAGCATTGTAGCATGATGGAAACGGCTCTCTTGAAACACTTCCTCCCCTCCCTTTCCTCCCCTTCCTCCCGCCTCTGTGTGTGTGTGTGTGTGTGTGTGTGTGTGTGTGTGTGTGTTGGTCAAATATTTTGAAACCCCCTTTTTGTAGTGTATTTCAGATTTTATAACTCATGTGTGCTTTGCACACTTTTTAAACAACCAACAATAACACGTTTTGTATTGCAAATCAGTACATGCATGTAACTGAGATAGACATTTAAAAAAAATACTGACTCTTCAATTGTAGGGAGCCGTCCCTGCATTCTCCATTACAAGATGGCGCCTGCATCCGGCAGGCACCGAATGTAAACAAGATTATTGCGCAGGCGCTGGGTAAATTTCCATTCCTTGATCTCTGCCTATTCCGTGGCGTCATATGGCCGGATGAGCTGCAGCCAATCATGGGGTGACACGTCCGAGGCGCCGGTTGCCAGCCTTTATTAGGGGACGGGATTCTTGGCTCAGTGTCTCCGCTCTGGTAAGCTTATGCTCTCCTCTCAAGACGCATTAAAGCTTTCCTGCAGAAGGATCCGAGTGTCCCGTGTATGATTTCTTGCTGGCGAGAAATACAGAGAGCGCGCGGGACATTCAATATTACAGGACTCAGATGGGCCCTGTATGCTTTGATGCTTTCTTTTTCAGTTTGTTCTACTACAACGCCCCCCCCACACACACACCACCTATTCTAAATAGCGCTGCTCAGAACAAGAGCAGCCACACATCCCTTTTAAGTCCCTATTTTTAGTTCTTTCCAATGTGTACCCCAAAGCTGAATTTCTGGATCATAGGAGAAGTCTGTTTTTAACATTTTGAAGATTGGCCATACTATTCCATCATGGAGTTGAGATTTTGAAGAAATCCACTGTGGGTGCTTTTAGAGATGTGAAAGTGCCAGTTTCATGTTCTTACTTTGGATCATCAAAACAACATTCCTGCTAACGGCTGGAGAGATGGCTCTGACTTAAGAGCACTGTGCTGCTCTTGCACAGGACCTGGGTTCAGTTCCCAAAACCCACACTGGGTAGCTCACAACTGCCTGTAAATCAAGTCCCAGGGGATATGACACCCTATTCTGGCCTCCACAGGTACTGCACACGCATGTTTCATATACAGACAAGTGCATGCACACACAGAGAAATAAGATTAAAACATTCCTGCTAATAAAAATTCAGACAGCAAGGCCGGCTGATGCTTACTGAGCTCTAAGTAGCTACAGGTTCCATGGCAGGCACCTTCTTTAACCCCATCAATACTGTAGATGCGTGATGCCCTGCCAATGCATGATGTCCTACAGATTACAGATGTGTGATGTTGCAGATACATGATGTCCTGTATATGTGTGACATCCGGGGGATACATGACATCCTACAGATGTGATGCTCTGCATGTATGTGATATCCTGCAGATGTACAATGTCCTACAGATGTGTGATACCCTGCAGATGCATGATGTCTTGTAGATGGAAAGGGTGATTTGTGGTTAGAAAGACCAAACAACTCACCAAGGCCAGTGACTGGAAGACCCAGAGTGTGACCTATAAGAAAGGACTCCACAACCACCTGACAGCCATGCCATCTGTGCCCTTATTTTTGACCTCTTTTTCTCCTAAGGAGTTCATGTTATGTTCCATTCATTTTTCCCTTTTAAACATTCATCCCTAGTTGTTTAAAGTCTGTGATGTGAATGAGAAGTTAAAAGTGAGTGAAATGGGTCTATAGCAGCCAACACTCAGTGACTTTTTAACTGGACACTGTGCAGGATGTGTGGCATTGGATAGAGTATTAGTGTCTCCCAGGCATCCTGTTACCCTGACCAGTCTCCTGACCTTTCAGCTTCTGACACTACTAAACTGAAGTAGACCTAAGTGGCTGTTTGTTACAAGGGTTGTTGGGGTAGGAGAGAAAGATGGAGAAGCCGATGGGGGGAGGGGGAGGGCTGCCACACACCTTTAATCCCAGCACTTGGGGCGCAGAGGCAGGCAGATCTGAGTTGGAGGTCACCCTGGTCTACAGAGCCAGTTCCAGGACAGTCTCTAAAGCTACACAGAGAAACACTGTCTCAAACCACCCCCCCAGAAGGAGAAAATTAAGGGGGTATGGGAAAGAAAAGCAGCCCTCACTCCAGAGTCTTACAGAGAGGACATCTGACAAAGCCCAAATTGCTCACACATGGGGCTGGAGAGTTGGCTCAGTGATTAAGAGCATGCACTGCTCTTGCGAGGGATCCATTTGGTTCCCAGCACCCATTTGAGGCAGTTCACAACTACCTATAACTCCATATCTGAGGGGGACCTGATGCCCTCTTTTGGACTCTTACACTCACACATGTACCTCGCACATACACATATTTGCAAACATAGATACACATTGATAATAAAAAAAAAAGTCAATTTTAATAGTCCAAGGGCCTGCAAGATGGCTCAAGGGGTAAAGGTCTGCCACCAAGCCTGATGACCTGAGTTTGATCCCTGTGATCCACACAAGGTGGACGGGAGTTGTGTTCCGACCTCCACATCATTTTCTGCGGCATGTGTGCGTCCATCCATACGCAATAATGGTATGATAAATTCAGAAACGGAAATGAAGGTTCAAAGTCATCCTTAGCTGCATAGCAAGTCAGAGGCCAGCCTAGGCTACGTGAGGCCTCGTCTCAAGGAAGAAAACCAAAACCAAGATAAACAAAAGGCTATGCTTACTCAGGGCCAAGATGTTTGTGAACTGGAGTTTATATTAGCAATCCTCCCCTGCTCCACTACCACTCCTCAGCTCATCCAAGCAGTAGATCTTATGAAACTGTTTTTCCAAAGAAATTTTTAAAAAAATAAGTAAACTAACTCACATCTTTCACTTAACTTTTAAACTCTGCTTGATCTCTAAGCCTTGCTGTAAATTATACCCTTTGAGCTCTATAATTTGGCCACAAAATCATATATATCATATGTATTGCCGCTAAAAACACATGAGTATTGCTTTCCCTCTTGAGAAGCCTCCATCCATGCCTGGGATGTGTACTGTCCCGTGTGTGTGTGTGTGTGTGTGTGTGTGTGTGTGGGGTGTGTGTGTGGGTGTGTGGGTGGGGGTGTGGGGGGGTGGTGTGTGTGTGTGTGTGTGTGTGGTGTGTATGTGAGTGTGTGTGTGTGTGTGTGAGTGTGAGTGTGTGTGTGTGTGAGTGTGTATGTGTGTGGTGTGGGGGGAGAGGGAGGAGAGAAAGACTAAATGCTCTTATACCTAAATCTGAAGTGTGTACCATCTCCTATCCCTGAATAGACTTGCTAACTTGGCTTCACTCTGACTTGTTCTGAAATTCTTTTTGTGATGTAGTCACTGTAGTGAAGGACAGCTTTACCTGCATGGAGGTCCCAGGAACTCCTAGGACCTCAGGCAGCAGTGTGGGCTGTATCTCCCCACCACCAACAGCATAGTGAGCTAGTTCCCTGTGATAGCCCCCATACAAAGTAGGCCTCAGTCAGGTCATAGGAGTAAGCAAGTCAAGAAACCAAGGGTCGTTCACATAGGCACACGGGTTAGAGCCACCGAATCTGCCATTTTCCACATGAACACTGACCACCATTGCTTCCGGGCAGATTTGACCATCTGGTGGCCATAGAGCGTGCAGGAAGGGCTGCCGATGGCAATTACTACAACGCGAGGAAGATGAACATCAAACACTTAGTTGACCCCATCGATGACATTTTCCTTGCAGCACAAAAGATTCCTGGAATCTCATCAACTGGTAAGTGGGGGCACTAAGAATTCAACGCGAACACCTTGATACTAAGCGTCTTTTATTATTCATTGAGGACAGGCCGGGAAGGAATTGCTCTCCACTCCCCGAAACTAGGCTTTGTTTATTTCAGCTAGTCTAGATGCTAATGACAACATTATTAAGAAATGCAACATTCCCTTAGGAGAAAGGGAAGTGACACACATACATAGAACATACTGGATTTGCCCAGTTCAGAAGTAATTAAACTCATCATGAAATAGTAACAATGAAATCAAAGCATGGTGTCTCATTTTGACCAGAGGCTGGACTTTGTGTCATCTGAAGAAACGCTTAACTCTTTAAGTGCATTAAATGTAAGACGAGTGAACGATTATTGTTAATACTATACTGCAATAATTTGTTTTGGTACTGAACTTTATACTTTTCCAAGAACTTTCACAACTGTTATATTTTCTATCCTGCTCAAAACTCCTATGTGGTAGGAAGTAAATGATAAAATGAGGCCCCACGAGTTTGAAACTGCCTAGCTAATTAGCATTGCCGGAAGGATTTTGAGCAAAGGGCAGACCCCACCCCAGTCCCTACAGTTAAAGAATCACCTTGCTGTTATGACTGAGCTAGTCCCCAAGGATGCCAGCTCTCCTTCCTCCCTCAGGAGAACGGGGTGGGGGTGGGGAGTAATGAAAGCCAGCCAGTCTCTCCTTCTGTGTCTGTTACTCTCCAAGCCTCTGAGTGTTTCCCAGACCCATTAGTCCCCTCTGACTTTTGAGGTTTTGAGGAGTGAATGAAAACCTTCTGGATTGTCTAGAAAGTTTCTGCAAATCCCCAGATTTTCCCAGAAAAGGCTGTGGGTGGGGCACATGCAATGTGGTCAGCTTGGTTGGTTTCTCACTTCCTGTCACTATGGGCTGGGCAGGTAAAGGACCCAGTGCCTGCAGGGATCATTGCCAGCACAGGAGTCCAAAGGAGCAATTAGTATGTGTCCTGGGAAGCTGCAAGAGCATGTGTCCTGGCCCTCCCTAGCATCTAACTACCCCTTACACTTCCATGGTTGTATTGTTTTTGTCATCCAATCAGGCTGTCACTAATGTAGAAAACTGTTCTGAGAAAAATGGTCAGGGTGGAAACAGAAGCAAAAATCTTTAGGTTGTGTTACTGGAAGGTGTTCAGTCATTCACAGAGGTCTTTTGGCTCAGTCTGGTCTCCAATGCTTGAGGTGCTTTAGTTCCCTCTCCCCAGCAACTCAGAATGAATGCCAGCCTCTAGCACAAGGATTCTCAACCTTTCTAATGCTGCAACACTTTCATACCATTCATGTTGTGGTGACTCCCAAACATAAAATTTTGTTGCTACTTCATAACTGCAATTTACTACTGTTATGACTCATAATGTAGATATCTGACATGTGACCACTGTGAAAGGGTTGTATGATCCCAAAGGGGCTGAAATCCACGGATTGAGAACCACTGCTCTACTAGAATTCTTCTATGTATTTATTACAAGCCCTTGTGGAAGAAACTCAAATACAGTAATACCCAGTCCTGTATGACAGGATTCAGGCACTATGCTGGCCTGCCCCTGTCACCTGGCAGAATGCACTCAGGCAGTGCCCTGGTCAGCCCAGGGTTCCATGACTACTAGTCTGCATGAAGGTGCAAAGGACCCCTTTCAAAGAAAACCCCACACTTCTGCTCTTTCTGCTCTCTCTTTCCTGCTGTTCCCCTGGGGCAGACAGGACTTTTCCTGTCTCTTCTGTCCTTTCTCTGTCTCTGTGTCTCTTTATTTTCTTACCTCCCCTCAATAATACTTTCAGTATGAGTTAGTCTACAGGTCTGTTTCCCCATATGCCCGCTGTCCATCTCCTGGGGATCCTTGTGGTCTCAGCACGGGACTGGAGACTGCCACCTGGGGTCCCAACCCATTATTCATTATTCCTAACACTGTAGTTCAAGGAGGTTTAGTTTTCTGTCCTCGAGGTCCTGGGATACAGCCCTGTTTAAAAAGGCATTCTGACCATCCTCACTATGTTGTACAGGATGGTCCCCAACTCCTGAGCTAGAGCAGTCCTCACGCCTAGCTCTCCAGAGCAGCTGTGGCTGGACCTCTTGGCAGATAAAACCATTCCCAGCTCACCTGACTGCCTCGTCTGCAGCAATGGATCCTGTGAGGATATTTCAGATGACAGGCAGCTACCCCTTCAGTTTAGATGAAAAAGAATCACATGCGTGCTTTTCACATTCCTTAAGCAGAAGCCTGTGGGTTGTGACCCCTTTGGGGGTTGAAGGACCCGTTCATGGGGGTGGCCTAAGACCATTGGGAATCACAGATATTTACAATTCATAACAGTAGTAAAATCACAGTTATGCAGTAGCAACAAAAGTAATTTATGGTTGGGGGGGCACCATGACATGAGGAATTGCATTAAAGGAAAGTTGGCAACCGCTGGGCTAGAGTAAACACAGTTTACCTTTGCCAGTGTGATGTTGGCCAGTTGCTGTGTGGGAGCTACTGAGTGTTACTGTACCCTTGCTTCCAGTATGCCTGGTGACATGTCAGAACACAAGGCACCCAACCCTGTGGCTGTTTGTGGGAACCTAATAGAAGACAGGATCCCACTCCAGTGAGCTCCAAAATCAGATCCGTTCCCAACTAGAGAGGTTTCTAGAAGACCTGAAGAAGAATCAACATCTGGTAGTCAGAAATATCTTCAGAGCCAACCACTGACATGTGGGGAGGGGCTGTCTCGTCCCTCCCCACTTTGCCCCCATCCTGTTTACCGACTGTTTCTCTTCCCTTCAGGAGTGGGTGATGGAGGCAATGAACTTGGCATGGGCACTGTCAAGGAGGCTGTGAAGAAGTACATAAGAAATGGAGAGGTCATTGCCTGTGACGTGGAAGCCGACTTTGCTGTCATTGCTGGTGAGTACCTGTGTGCCCGCTAAGAGGAGCCTGGCTGCCCAGGGTAAGTGACCTGGCTTGAAGCCTGACCAGGTATGTAAGACAGTTTCTCATCACCGTGACAAATACCTGAAAGCAGTAACTTCAAAGGAGGAAGGATTGTTTGGGTTCATGGTCTCAAAGGGCTCAGAATACAGTGGCTGGCTTTATTGCTCCTGGGCCTGTAGCCAGGCAGACTGTCATGGCAGAAGGGCTGCCTGTTCCCTAGTGACCAGGAAACAGAGCAAGGGACCTTGTGTTTGCCTGGCTGGCTACTTATGCTTTTCTCCTACCTGGGTTTGTATCCTATTGGCCGTTCTGCTCACACTCAGGTAGGGTCTTCCTCACTCAGTTGCTGTCCAACGTGTCAATCTTTTCTGGAAATGCCCTTGCAGACATCCCTATGCTTTACTCCTCTCCCAGACACCTCTCAATCCATTCAAATCGACAATCAAGATAACCATCACACCAGGACAGAAGCTTTTTCTCTTCTTTCCAAGGGGCACCAGTGTAGGGCAGGACCTTGAGTGGGAATTCAGCCATTCAGTTAACATTCACAGTGTGCCAGGCATTGTTCTGGGTTCTGAGCAACAGCAGAGGTGATGTGTGCTGAAGAACTTCCCTTAGAGAGTTGAGAGACAGTGACCCAGATGAATACATATACCAGGTGATACAGTGATGTGAGGTGTGAGGGCAATAGGACAGGTGACAGATGAGAGTGACAGGAGGGCCACTTTGATCAGTGGTCACTGAGTGCCTAAGGCATGGTGGACAGGGGAAGGGTTTCCCACAGCTCCCTTTACCAGCTTCTGTCTCAGGATCCCTGTCTTTCCTGTTGCTGCCTTGGGGGACCTCAGAACCCACCTTTCTTGTGTGTAATTACCATTACAAAGCCTGACTTTCCCTTAACCTCACCAGAAGTTTCTGGAAATATTAACACCTGAAAAGGGCTCTCTCCCTTTTATGGTTAGACTCAGCCTAGAAAGGAGCAAACATTCTCCAGGATAGAAAACCTACTGGCAAGTTGCTGGAGGCTCACCACACAAACCTGGAGTTCAACCACAGGGAGCCAGGTGACCACCTTTAAGCCCAGCACTTGGGGGGCGGGGGGGGGGGGGGGAAAAGGGCTCTCTCCCTTTTATGGTTAGACTCAGCCTAGAAAGGAGCAAACATTCTCCAGGATAGAAAACCTACTGGCAAGTTGCTGGAGGCTCACCACACAAACCTGGAGTTCAACCACAGGGAGCCAGGTGACCACCTTTAAGCCCAGCACTTGGGGGGCGGGGGGGGGGAGGTAGTCGGGTCTCAGTGTTTGAAACCAGTCTACACAGTGACTTCCAGGGTTCCAAGCCAGTCAAGGCTACATAGCAAGACCTTGTCTCAAAAAAAAACAAAACAAAACAAAACAAAAACAAAACAAAAAAAACCCACACACACACATACAAAACCAACAAATGAAAACAATGCTAGGGGATCATGGGGGACTTACTTCTGGGCACCCCTGGGGGAATCACCTTAATTTGAGGGACTTACTTCTGGGCACTTAACTAGGTTCTCCATAGTGAATATCAGGGAAATCTCTTCTGCTTGTGGTGGACCTAGTCAAAAGGAACTCTCCAGAAATATGCCAGATCTTGCCCTGGGCCTTAAAAGGAACCGCAGCCTGCTGTGGTGTGAACAAAGCCATGCGTGCTTGGGAGAAGGGAAATACCCAGGTCCAGCCCACTGCCACCTTCCAGGAAGAAAAAGGAGACGCCCAGCTCTAGTTCTATAGAGTAAAAGGAAGAAGATAAATTAAATGTAACACTAACCAACAAAAACAGACTTCAGAACAAAGGAAGTTACCAGGAATAAAAAAGGCACATTCATAATCCACAAGGAAGATATAACAATTCTTTGTGTATATGTATCTAACACCAGAGTGGTTATAAACACACACACCAGGGGTGGGGGAAGATCTGCAGAGAAAAAAATAGATGATTCAACTATTATAGTTGGATATTTTACCATCCCTGAAACAAAAGTGGACAGATACAGCTGGCATAAATCTGCAAGGACACAGCTGAACCCAACAATGCTGTCAATCCACCAAATTTAATTGACACCTGTATTAGTTACTTTGCTATTGCTGTGATGAAACACCATGACCAGAGCAATGTAGAGAAGAAACTGTTTATTTTGGCTTGTGGAACCAGAGGGTTAGAGTTTATGTGACAGGGAGAATGACAGTAGGCAGTAGGAACAGGAAACCGAGAGCTCGAATCTTGAACCACAAGCACAAAGCAGAGAGAGCAAACTAAGCAGGCCAGGCTCTTGACTACCGAAGCCCACCCCCAGTGATGTACTTCCAACAAGGCCACACCTTCTCTACTCCCCTCAAACAGCACCACCAACTGAGACCAAGTAATTACATGCTCATGACTATGGCAGACATCTCATTCAAACCACCACAGAATGCATATATTAGAAAGCAAGAAATAACGGACTTTGCTTATCTTAGCTTCCACCTTAAGGAAAGAAACTATAAATAGTTCAATATTTTTCATGAACATGAGTATAAAAACAGGGCTGGTGAATTGGGTTATGCCATTTGCCACCAAGTTTGATGGCTTCAGTTTGGTCCTGGATACCCATATGTGCACGCACACACTAGTAAACAAATTTTTTAAAAAGTCAAAAAGCACTCAGCAAAATATTAACAGACCACAACAGCATATAAGAGAAATGTATCACTAACAAACTAGGGCTTATCTCAAGAAGATCCAATAATCAAAAAAAAAAAACCACTCATATATCTTAGATATTAACAAACTAAAGAAAATTACATGATAAGGCAAGAAATTTAGGAAAATATTTTTAAGAGTCCAGCTGGGAGTACTATGGCAAGGCTGTCCTTTGTCAACAGTTTTTCAGCGTCCTACTATAAATCTTAGTGAAATAAGACAAAGAGAAGAAATAAAAAGCATGTGGATCGAGAAGAAAGAAAATAATTATCTTTGTAGATGGCATGTTCATCCATATGGAAAATCTACAAGGATAAACAAAAGCAAACTCCTGGAACAAAGAGATTACGGCAGTCTTTCAGGATACAGCATCACTTTCCAATATTGCAACAGTTTGTACGAGGAATTTGAAACTGAAAACACATTGCCATTTATATTAGCACTTCCCAAAATGCACTACTTAACTATAAAGCTAGCAACATGTAATTACTGTTTATGCAAGGAAAACTATAAAACTTTGATGGGGATAGCAAGTAAGAACTGAAAATAATCACAGGGATATATGTTCATGGATTTGAAGACTCAACAGTGTCTGGATGTTAGTTCTACCAACTTGATCAAAAATACAACACAAAACAAAGGAACATTTCTGGAAGTTATTTCATGGATACCAGAGTAGTTGCTTTTTTCCCCACTGCTATGACAAAATACCTAACAAAAGGAATTTAAGTGGCGGGGTGGGGTTCATTTTGGCTCGCAGCTTGAGGAGATCTGGCCATCTCGGTGCAGAAGGCATGGCGGCGGGAGTGTGAGGCCGTGGTCCATACTGTATCTGCAGTCAGGATGTTGGAGATGAATGCTAATATCAACTCACTTTTCCGATTTCCATCCATTCATTCATCCATTCATTCATTCATTCATTCATTCATTCATTTATTCATTCATTTATTCATTCATGTATGTGGTATGTATCCCTCTGACCTCCACCTGCAAACCACAAAGGGCAGATTACTAAATGAACCAGCCAGTTTGAAAGGCTATGTGATCTGAACCCAGCTTTATGATGTTCAGGAAAATGTAAAATTACGTGTACAGTGAATGATCAGTGGTTGCTAGAGACTAGGATCAAAGTTCACAATATGTTCGTCTGACATGGGGCCCCTGGCACATGAACTTAAGTTAGCTGCCTTTCCCTCTCATCTCTCCCATACCCTACCATGTCTCCCATGATCCAGGTATGATGGCCGTGGGCACTGCTTAAATATAGTATGGGTTTTACATTTTGTTCATTGAAAATATGACATCATAGTAAGACCAAAGACATCCTTAAAAAGCAGGTAGTGTAGGGTGATAGACACAGGCAAAAAACGGTGCTGTGTCATCCCACCATAGCTCAGTCAGCAGTTTTAGCTTGCAGGTCAGCAGCATCCTTGATACATGACCATTCTAAGCCATTTTAAACCAGTGAACAAGGATTTTCAATTCTGCCTTTTCCTTGTTTACAGCTTCCCAAACATGTTTCATGTTTCTACATTTGCACAGAGCCTGAGGATGAGCTCTGGAACTGTACCAGGGGAGTATACTTAATGCCACTCAACTGTACTCTAACAGATGATATTTCGAATGAATGGATCAAGAGATACATAATGCTATGTAGCTGTACCTGTAAAGATGGTTACATTGGTGAACCCAATTTTTTTTTTATTTTATTAGTTCTAGTTAGGGAACAAGCTTATTTCAAGTCCCTTCTCCCTCTCCCTCCCCTCACCCCCAACCCTCCTCCCCCACCCCCAGTCTACCCTCTAGAGCCAGAGTGTAAATCTTCACATGGGATGGGCTCTCAAAGTCCCTTCTTGCACCAGGGAAAAA